CCTGGGGTTTCTTGTACCACAGAGGAAGAGGAGTGCGGTTACCCAAGGGCACATAGCTGACTCTTCCCCAGAGCTGAATGGAGCATATAAGAGACACACTCAAAACCTAGGGACACCTGAAAGGTTGAAATTGAGGGGTTGGACAAAAGATTGACTGGGAGAAAATTAACAAAAGCTACGAAAACAATACAAATATCAGCCCAAAATAGGCTGGTTTGAGGCAAAAGGCATTAGGGATTATCTGAGTCATAATTCATGAAGGAAATTAATGTTCCTATTAGCTTGTCTTCAAACTACAAAGAAAACGTCTGTACTTGTGGACATGTTGTTGTTGTTGTTATGTGCCGTGGAGTTGGCCCCGACTCCTAGCGACCCCTCCTTGGGTTTCCGAGGTGGTATCCCTACGAAAGTAGATTGCCCCATCTTCCTTCCGAGGACTGGCTGGTGCTTGTGGACACAGCTGGGTAAAATGGGAGGGTTTAGATAGTCATTATCAGTGTGAATGGTGCTGCTGTCAGTCCATCCTGATTAGCTAAATTGACCCACAAAAGCCAGCTCCTTGGTCACATTAAAACGGGAACAATGCCACCATGGTGCCCATCAGTGTGTTCAGAGGCACATACGGGGGAGCTGTAAGACAGAGTCAGGTCAGCAAACTTCTTCCATAAAGGGTCAGACGGCTTTCCGGCTCCGAGGACCACCATCTGTTGCAACTGCTCAACTCTGCCGCAAAGCGGCCACAGACAACCGCAAGCCGATGGGTGGCCACGCTCCGAGAAAACGTCGTGGACACTGACATTTGAATTGTATCTAATTTTTATGAGTCACAAGCTATTATTACTCTTTGACTTTTTTTTTTTCTTTCAATCATTTAAAGACATAAAGCCATTCTTGGTGGTGGGCCCTGTTTGGCCTGTGGCCCACTGTTTGCTCACTCTGAATACAGACCTACAATTGGGAGAATCACCACTTCCGGGACAAATTTCTGTAAAGATTGACAAAACGTTGAGTGTCGTAGTTACTCCATATGAACTACTGACTTGGTCACTTTCAATGAATGGCTTGTGTAATTCTTTTCTTTCTTGTTTGTTCTGTTCATAGTGCTGAAATGTGATTCTATGTCTGAGTAATCTGATGACAAACCAACCAACCAACCAACCTGGTGTGTATTCTGTATGTCTTTGTTTTTTATTTCATTTTCCTAATTTTTATTTTACAAAAGTTTTGGCCATCATGGATTAGAAATTAAACTGTCCCTTCACCATAAGTAGTTTGAGAGTCACTGGTTTAGAGGCTCTGGAACCCTGGTGTAGTGGTTAAAGCATTCAGCTGCTAGCCACAAGGCTGGAGGTTTGAACCCACCAACTGCTCCACAGCAGAAACATAAGGCAGTCTGCTTCAGTAAAGATGGGCAGCCTTGAAACCCTTGGGGGCAGCTCCACTCTGCCCTGCACAGTCTCCGTGACTTGGAATCGACTCTATGGCAGTGGGTTTTGATTTTGCAGACAACTGGTGCCCCTCAAAGTGCCTCACCTGGGGAAGCACTGGTGCAGGGTCTGGAGAGCAGGAGAGGACCTGGGTGTTCCAGGCCCTGGTGCCGCTCTGAAAGGAACCACCATAAATGGGATGCCTTAAACAGGAGTTTATTCTCTTACAATTTGGAGGCTTTAAGTCCAAGTTCAAAGTGCCAGGCTCTAGGGGCTGGGTGAAAGCCCCTCAACCTTGGGGTCCAGCTCT